ACCTATTTGCTTTTTATTTGGTGTATTTTATATTTTCTTCTCTCTCCTTTATTGCTTTTTCTTAATTAAATGTTTTCTCTAATACATCTCCCTCCTATTCATTTGTAAATTTTACTTTTTAAAAATTATTCTTTTAATGGTTAACCTAGAGATCACAACACATCTCTTTGGCTTATTACAAATTATTACTTTTAACTGCTAGAAACTTAGAACACTGAACTCTATTTACCACTCCCTCCTGTCTCTTGAATTATTCTTGTTATATACTTAGTTATCTTATCTATTTTAAATCTCATAAGAATTCACAATTACTTTTTATATGGCCAATATAATTTATAATTACCCACATATTATACTTTCCTGTGTTCAATGTTCCCTGCTGTTTTTTCCATGTTTTCATCTGCCATTCATTGAGTTCTTAAGATATTGCTTTTTTTTTGTTTGTTTTAGAATAGCCATTTGTTTCTTTTAAAAAATAGATTCTAATTTTTTGGTGAATTCTCCATCCTTTTGCTTATTTTCTCTCCTTTTTCTACATTTTACTTCATATCTCAATCAGAGTTATTTGTTTGCTAACTCAAAAATCTGTATAATCAGAGTCTGTTTTATTCTGTTGATTATAGATTATATGGTCTTGTATTTTCTTAGACCTAGTTATTTTTGACTGGATGCACTGGTGCAAAGTGTGTATAAAAGAACCGTATCTTCTACCAGGGAAGGTTCTGCCCTGTCTCTGTCATGCAGATAGACCAAGAGGGCAATTATTTTAATTCAGAGAGGGATTGAGTTTGGCTGGGGCTCCATTCAGTGCTTCCCCATCCACCCTCAGTTTGCCCCTATTCCTGGGCAGGCCTGCCAGGGTTTGGCTGAGAGTCTGGTCTTTGTGTCCTTAGCCCTGAAATCTGGAGAAAATTCAGCTCTTCCCTCCAGTGGTTTTCAGATTCATTTTTTCCCTCCTCATTTATAGCTTTAAAACTTGCAAATGACTCAGGAGTTGAGCAATCATATATTTGAAACAGTTTTCTTCATCTGGAAAATCTTTAATTCCTAAACTGAGATTGTGGGGAATATTTCCTGCCTTCTAGAAGTTTCTGGCCCTCTACCCCATCCTCCTGAACGACACCTGAAGCCCAAGCACTGCCCTGCAGGGAAAGCTGGCTTTGTGTGGAGGGCTTTGCAGGTTTCTGCTCCATCACCCAGCTCTGTGGGACGGCTGACGTTTGCCGCCTTCCCTGTCCCACAGGGTCACAGCCTAGGTCCCTACCTGGGCCAAGGGTGAGCAAGTTGTGGCCAGGGCTTGAGAATGTTACGGAGGAGAGAAAGTCTGGCCATCAGCCTCCCACTGCAGAGCACTGCTTTTATGGCTCTCTAATGCCTTACAAATGCTCCAGAAATGACTCGGTCATCCTCTGTTAGTCGTCACAGTGAACTTCATTCTATCTGAACATGATAAGTCCTGTCCCCACACTTTTTCATTTTCGTCATCATGTATACCACCATTTAATACTCTGATATGGAGATGATTGTAATATCTATATAAATGTAGTATGTAGTTTTCATATAAAACTAACCTAGTTGCTGTTGACTCTATTTTCAAGGATTACCCTACAAATTGTAACTGGAGAGAAAAAATTTGATTTATTTTCTTCTTATTGTTAGGTAGACTCATAGCTCCCTCTGCCCCAGCCTTCCCCCATTCCCCTAGCTGGACTTAAACTCCTCCTTTCTGGAACCCACATGCCACCTTATTTGTATGTCTTTATTGCACCTATACCTTGCATTATGGTTACATATATTTGCATTCTTTATAGGACATACCAGAGAGCTCTGTCCAGAGTGGAAGGAGTAAGTGAATGGAAGCCTGACAGCATAATACTGTGGATGCTCTCTGGGACACGAGGAGAATTATTACCTATTCATCCCCATCATTTGTGATGAGATCACCTGAGAGGAAGCATTTGGGAGTATCTTCTGAGCTGGAGTCCAGAATTACACCAGCACTTCTTCATTTTTGTATGGAGCAAAGATTTCCATAATAGTATGGTTTTAATCCAATTGAATGCAGGTTTTCGCATTAAAATTCTGGCGTTCACAGTCATTAAATAGAGGAAACATGGTTAATACGGTGAAGGTAACCAGCTTGCACACATTTATAGACAAGCCCATTGTAAAGTTTGTCATACTGCTAGCAGTCAGAATTGTGTTTGAGAAAATTGTCTCTGGGAAAACACAACTTTCACTTTCAAAATTATCAGCATAGAATTTCCAAGTCAGAAATGGCTCTGTTGTTCCAGGGGTTCTAACACCTTAAAAATCAGCCACTGCCCATTTATGGAACACCACTGTGGTCAAACGTGCTACTGTCCATCCCACACCCAGGGATTAGTTAGAACAAGGCAGGTTTTCCATGAAACACCCCTGTATAACAAAATATGTGACGGTGCTACATGAGCAGTATCCATAGTAAGGATTCTGAGGAACTTGAGGAGACGATGGCCCCTGAGGGGGCCTAGCTGGGGGCTTGGTTTATGCTGTTTCATCAGGCACAGCCTCCAGGGCCTTTGGCTTTAAAGTTCCTTCCTTTCCTTTCTTTTTTTCTTTCCTATGAGTTGGGTTAATATGGCCAATCGTGTTGGAAAAGAAATGAATACATTTAATTTGACATCCCATACCAGCTGGTGTTGATAGTCAGAACTGCTTTTAAGAAAAACTTGTAAAACAAGTAAGGGACTTCCTGCCAAACTCTGTGAATGCCACCTGGCCTGAAGGGTCGCTGGGTGGGAACTTGGAGCTGAACTTCCTGCTTACGAGGGAAGGACAACTGGCCCACCGTCCTGGAGGGGCTGGAGGTGGGGGCAGCCCTGGTCGTCAGGCACGGCTGGGGAGGAAGGGGCCTCAGATGCTCTGAATTGGGGGTGCCTCTGGAGAGCCAGATGCTTTTACCTAATTCAGAGTGTTTGTCATGGTGAAACAATAATAGTTGTTGGGTAAAGCCATGAACCGTGGAGTGAATTAATGGGCGGGAAACAGGAACGGGTCAGAAGAATGCTGTCTGAAGACCATCGGTAACCAGAATTTGCCAGTTTGAAGGTGTGCTCAGCATACTATAAAATTATTGAAAATTACTAAAAAAACCATTGACTCACATGGACACATGCTTGTGAAATGCTAAAATTTAAGATGTCAAGATATAAATTCGTTTGTACAGAATGCAAAAAGTGCAAATGAAAAAGACCAGGAAGAGCTCAGATCCCAAAGGATTATAGTTACTGTGTTGTAAGGTGGAATAAAGGTAATTTTCTATTTTCCTCTGTGTTTCCCCAAATGTCCATAATTTGATTATATTACAATAATTTAAAAAAAAATAGTACCTTTACTTAACAAATATTTCATGGCTTTATGTTTTTTTTTCAAAGATATGTCACATGCTATCTCTACTCTCAAGGAACCCTGAATCTATAAAGGGGAAGACATAAAATCCTGCAAATAGTATGGAACAGATAAAGTAAGAAAGCCATAGAAGTCAGATGGAAAATATCACGAGACTGTTGTGATCATGAAGGCTTACTGAAAGCAATGGAGTTTGAATAGACTTGAAGGACAGGATTTTAACAGATGGTGTTGAGCGTGAAATGGCGATTTTCTGCAGAGAAACGACAAGCAGAGGGGCAGAGGTGGAAGAGCTGAGCTGTGCTGGTGGGACAGCATCATGCTGCTTAGTGAGCAGAGTAGTAAAGAAATGGGTGAGGCTAAAGTGAGGCTGAGGCATCTTGCTCACCACGCTAACCCCTGGCGTAGCATTGAGTCCTGATAGCTGATGGGGGTGTTTTACTTCAGTTCACCAACTGCGAATGTTCACATTCCTCACACATGGTTTTCAGAATAACGTTTTGAAGAGTATACACTCTGTATGCAGACGACAAACCTGAAGATGGAGAAGCTGAGGGGCCTCCCAAGGCTACCGAGCTGGCTCCTCCTCCTCTCCACTCTGCTTCCCTGCAGCTCTTTCACACCAGCAGCAGAGCATTTGCTGGAAGGCGCTTTCCCCTGCAGAAGATGCTGTTCATCTGTTGCAAAGCAGCCAGTCCACCAGGATCCCTTGGCCAGGAGACCGTGGTAGTTAGGAGACGACCTTCATTAAAGCCTTGGTTTGAATCCCAGCTCTCCCACCCATCAGCTGTTTAACCTCATCAAATAGTTTACTCTTTCTGAGCCTAAGGTCAGCACCGCAGATTTCGGAGATTCAGGGCCTGGGAAGACCTGCACTGACCAGCCATTGGCTCAGGGGGGCTGGAACAGGCCCACAGAGAGCTGGAGTGGAGAGGTGTACGTCCAGGGCAGGAAGAGGAATTCCATTAGCCTTGCTTCCATGGAATACAACTTAATTGTGAGTGAGCCATCAGTAATGGTAGCAATTTAAAAAATTCTTTCTAGCCTGCAGGCTTCAGGCAATAGCTTTCAATCCTTCACAGCTCCTTGTCTGAAGATTTGCCCAGCCGCTACCTTCAGCTACATGCCTCGGTTTCTTTCCCTTGTTGCCTCTCACAGCTTCTTTCTTTGCCCATCTTCGATTTTCAAAAATAAAGTCAAATACTATATATTTAGAAAATTGAACTAATGAAATGTGTGATTCACTTATTCTTTAGAAAGTGTGTAAGCACATACAATGTTTCCAATAATTTCTATAAATATTTAGTTATTAAGTCTTGGATAAGTTATGCCATACTGTGGCACGCTTGCAGTGGAAAAATAAGATTCTACTAATGTTCAACTCAAGATGTTTTCTGTAAGCATTCCAATAATTTCAGCATTCCACAAAATCCCATAATCTTCCTATACTGTATATGTTCACATATTTCTAGGAAGCTAAACAAACTTATAAAGTATATTGGAAGAATAAAAATTTTAGGCATTTGCAGATCATAAATCTTCAAATAATTCAATGTAGAGATCTATACATATGTATTATAAGTAGGAAGATGACAGATGAATTAGTACATAAAGTTTTTATTTAAAGTTTTCCCCTTCCAAGCAAGCGTCATTTACACATCCTAAGACTGTACAAAATTTACATTCTCTGTGACTCATTTATTCACTTTTCATTTTCTAGTAGTTTGTGTCTTTCTGAAATACAGAAAGCTTTACTACTAGTTCTCATAAATGCTCTTATTTATTTTGGTTAGAAATAAGAAATAAATGAAGAACAAGTCTAAGGAAAGCAAACATCCTTGTATAAACTGTGACTTTCAGAAGAAATAGTGACAGTTGATGACAAAAGGTTTTGAAGCAGATCTTGCTCTCATCGTGATGTCAGCTGAAATTTTTGCACTAAGTCCTGTAGCTTTTCTTTCCTTCTATATATCATATGCTTTCAAGGAAAAAGATATGAAAGTTGATTGCACTGGATATATATATTTACATATATATTTTTACAACGGATCCTTTGGATCTGAACATACAAATAAATACAAAAACAACAGAGATTGCACTTGACTGTAGAAACGGTCCTGGGCTCCAGCACACCCACCCCTCTGGACGTGTCCCACAGCGAAAGCGTATCACCAGGGCGTTTTGAATTTGTAGTTTCCCCACGGTGTTGTTTTGAATGACACATTAATTGCAGGATTCAACAACATCTCTGGGTGATGAAAAAAATATTTTAGGTTTTTATTTACTCCAGTTGTTGATCCAGCTCTGAAGAGCTTGAAGATCAAGTTCATGTTCCTGCCAGTCCTGCTTGTTTGGCCACAGCAAGGAGATGCGTGCTCTCCTGACCTGCTAAATTCTGCATGCTCCCGAAGGCACCTGAGCCCAGGCATCTCTGGTGATGACAAACACACATGATGAGTCGGGGCACTAGTCGGGAAAGTCGTGAGCTTTTCTAGAGCCGACCAGAGAGCATTTCTGGAGCCAACGGCGAGGAAGGGGGAGAAGTATTTGTCAGGAGCGGTGACTTGCCCCTGCAGCTCTTTCACGCTGTGCTGGGGACAGAAGCCAGTGGGATTGCACTGAAATGACATGTGACTTTCTCTCCACCCCTGACTTGCTGAAAGCAATCTTCCAGTTTTCGTTAAGGGTTGTTTGGGTAGGCATGTCATCCAACAGAATCTCATCAATACTGTGGGACTGACTGTCAGTGCCAGCTTTTAAGTGGTAACAGGAGTGCTCACCACTTATATACCGCAAAAAATGAGAAAACATGGGCCTCTGTGGAAAGATTAGTGGAAGAGTGCATTTTGTTTTAATCTCTCATACAAAATTAAGGACACAGAAATTATGACTGGCTAGCCTAGAATCTACTTGGCAAAAAGCATCTGCTACAAGAGCCAACACCTTTCTCTTCTCTGATCCCAAGAGGTGCTGTAGGGGGCAGAAGGTGTATGAAATGAAGTTATACAGAAATAAAAATGTTCCTCTTTAATCTTATATGATTTTCTATAACTGTGCTGCCTACTGAGTCTGTGAAGAAGCCACAGGTTAGGGATATAGAATCGAGTGGCAATTTCTGTAATGCAGTGTAAATATTTAGGCGGGTCAAATTTTGTATCATTCATGAACACAATATCCCCAAAACTCAACACAGATCACATGCAGGTAGACTACAATGGACAATACTGATCTTAGGTCTCTCTGGGGGCATTGCTCTGTATTTTATCATTCTCCTTTGAAAGTTAAGATCCACATGAGGAGTTTTTGTAAAGCTGGGACAAAACCAGTTGGAAATGGAAGAGTCTGTCACCACAGGGAGTTTGGCGTGATTCGAGTTACAGACAGTATCTGTTCAAGAACAGGTCTTTTTCTTTCATGGTTACTTGTCAATCATCAGAACCAAGGGTGGGTTTCGGCAGTTGCACCCTTAGAATGCGTCGCTCCCGGCAGGAGAGAGATGTCTGCTGGCATCGTGTCCCAGGATGTGGCTGCCCCTCCCCGCTCCAGATGTTATTTGTTGTAAGGCACACAGGTGGGCAGGATGACTGTCACACAGGCTGGACCTGCCAGTGGTTCTGCTACGTCTCCTTCCAGCTCTGTCCAGGTACCTTTTTCTGGACAATAGCATATTGTAGATGACTTGTAGGCCCCCTGTAATGGCAGAGCAGGGGGCGTTTAGGGAAGAAGTGCAATGGAAACCTTACCACAATTACATTGGGAAGAAATATCAATTCTCTGCTCTGGTTAAAAAATTCCAGATGAAAGTAGTGGATTTTAAGTGGCTTCATGTGATCAACAAATCTTTTAAAATAATTGACCAAATGTTGGAAGTTACTCAGCTGGTTTGATAAATGAAAATTAAAAATTCATCTTAAATATTCAAATAATTTAAGTAAATTGGATTTTAGATGGTTGCCTCAATTTTTCCCCATTTTTAAGCACTATAGAGAATTAGAGCTGGGATTCAACACCAGTTTAAAACTAACTGAAAATGAAGTCTTCCTGATGTCTTTGCACATTTATTTATTTATTTTCAAGAGACCACATGAAAAATAAGAAAGGTCTTTAATCCTATTTCCTTTGAGTCAACCCCTGGGGGTAGTGCTTGGATGACATTTCCCTTCCCAAACCAAGGCCACTTGGCTTCCACCATAGACAAAAAGCAAACAAAAATCCAAAACAACTTAATAACCATTTTCTGAAAGTGTACTCCCGGCATCTGATTCCCAGTGTGTGTACTCAGAACCTCATCTAACAGCCTTGTTCAATGCAAAAAGAAGTAAAATGAATATTATCCAAACCTTAAACTATTCTTATAAAAATGACATATAAATAGGAAAATATACAGTCATTACTTAAAAAGTGAAGACATAGGCCACTAGACCCTGCACATCTCCTAATGTGGTATAATTTGAACAGCCACTTCCTCAGGTGTTCTTGATGAAAAAACAAAAATAAATAATAAAAAAGTCTGAAAAAGGAACATGCTGAACTTAATTAAGCTCCTTTCTCTAACTCCAGTTTATAGGAACTGTGGAGACAAAGACCATTTTAAATGGCACCACAAGGTGATGTTCAGCCAGTTCCCGAGGGTTGTATATTCCACACGGTGGCTGAGCCTGCGTCTCAACAGGTCAACGGCACAGAAGAAGTGGGGCAGTGGTGAGTCTCCAGCTGCGGGAGATAAGTGAGCTGTAATGGCCGAACACAGCTGAGATGTGTTGGATCCTGATTTGAACATATCAGCTTGAGAAATACACATTTTCGACGCTATAGGAGAAGTTTGAATATGGCTTAGATATAAAGAAATTACTGTTAATTTTCTTGGGTGTGATAGTGATAATGTGTTTATACAAACAAATGATTTTTTAAAGATAAAAACTGAAGCACGTAGGGTGAAATTATATACTTAGAATTTGCTTCAAATTGCTTCAGTCAAAAATTTTAAAAGGGAGGATGGATGAAGTGAATATGGCAAAACTTTGATAAATGTTGAACCCTGGATGATGGGTTAAGCGAGGGTCCACTGTACCCTTAACTTTGTGTGTTCAGAAATTTTCATGATAAAGGGGGAAAAAGTGAAAAGCAATGGCAAACTATAGATTCTATGGAGAATTTGTGGATATGTAATCATTTCCATTTTCCATGCAATCCCGATCAGCAGGTTTCAGAGTCTCCCATCCAATTTCAACACAACATTTGTGAAATCACTGAGTTGCACTTTCAGTTGGAAAACAGGACTCCCAAAAGCACGGGAATAGGAGCCGACCAGGGTCGCTGTGTCTGTGAGGCAGGCGGCCAGGGCAGGCGGGTCCACAGCGACCACACGGACCCTGTCCAGGACTTGCAGTGGCTCCCTGCCCATGTGCACAAGGCGCAAGCGCAGCGGGAACGTCTGGCGGGCAGCGAGAAGGGCCAGGGCCGAGGGAGAAGACACCTACCATACTCCAACTGTAGCCCCCCACCAGGTAGATGCTGTCGTCGAGCACTGCGCAGCCGGGGCCACTCCGACCCTCCAGAATGGGCGTTTGGAGTATGTTCCACTGGTCGCCTTTTGGGTCGTAACATTCCACCAGCATGACGTCCAGGTGGGAGAAGCCTAAGGGACATGGCAGAGGGAGCGCATGAGGATAAACTCGCTGCCTCGTTTGAGGCCAGGGCTTCTTGTAAAAAGAGGTTTAGCGTCAAGAAGTAGGTCCCTGTGTTTCTGAAGACGCAGGCGCACACATTTGCTGGTGACGTTGGGAGACGTGCTATAAAGACCTGAACAAAGACAAAAGCTGGGCGTATGGGGTTAATTCAAAGCAAGAATGCTTGATGAGATGGCACTGGGAAAGGTTCCTTATGTGGGGGTAGATTTTATGTAAAAAAGTTTATTAAAACCCTATTTAAAAGGTTTTAATAGTAATAGTTAAAGCAAGCATTTCATAGAGTGCTTACAGCAAGCTAGCTGTTTTCTGAGAGCTTTGCTATGAATCCACTCACTCCCCTCTACCACCCCGCGAGACAGCTGTACCACACTATTCACTTTGTCAGTGAGGAAACCAAGGGACAGAATCAGTGACTTCAGGAAGTCACGCCGTCACCAAGCGTATAGGCTGAGACGGAAACCAAGGCGACAGAATCTGGGGCTCGCACTTGCGGAATCAACTACACAGCTCTTAAATGAATGTTTAACTTTGTCAAAATGTTTTACTTAATTAAGAATATATCGCTCAAAACCTCTTTTGCCTTTTCTACAGGCTTACAATGTTTAGGAGCAGCTGTGATGATGTGAACGGTTCCCAGCACCTAGTAAGGATCCAGACTCACAGCAAGGAACTTAATTGCACTGGAAGGTTTTTCTCTGACCTCTGAGTCTCCTGGTGGCTGGGCTGCAGAGAACAACTTAGGCTACTGGGCTCCGCGGGAGCCCTGCCTTTAATTTAAGGAATCAAAGATCCTCAGTGGGAGCTTCATGGCCACCAAGCAGACTGAACGCTGAATGATTTTTTTCTTCTAGTTAAATGCATGCTAGGGATTTTTGCCAGCTGACAGTTATAATGCACATACTAAATTAATCAACATACTGGACTCTTCAATTAAACAGATAGATTCAAACATAGAATAATTTTCATTCTTGACGAAGGCAGATTATTTCAAGCCACTGATTTCTTACATAAAATAAATTGCGTATATTTGGGAATAATAAAGCATGTGCTTATGCAACTCTGTGGTATATTCCTTTCTTTACCATTAAGATTATTGGATAATCAGGCACATTTGGAGACAGGATTGGGGCAAATTCTCAGTTTAAGTTCTAGTGGCATCGTATGAGGATATATGTGGCTTCTCTGTGGCCAGTACGTATATTACATGTGTTGACTATAATCTTCACAAAACCACTGAAGCAAGGATAACTATCCTTTACAGGCACGGAGCTACGTGTCTCGAGGAGGATCCCAGGATCATACAGCTACAAGTTCATGACTGGGGTTCAAATCCACGCTAGGACTTCAGGGCATACCCCTTCCTCTGCACCGTAATGCTTCCTTGAACCAACCTGATTTTAATGTGTATGTGCTATTTCTAATTCAGGATGTTATTATCCAAGTATTTCTATTGTAGTACAGCCTTAAATATTAAAAGTTCCTAAAATGGTGAGGTGTTATTGTGCAAAAGAAATTAGTAGAATCAAGTTTTAATGTAGAAGCCACAAAGTTAATATAAAACATGTTGATGTAATGGAATGGTGTATGGATTGAAATGAAGAAGCCCCAGTGAGAGAGAATAAAAAGGGAAGAGCTGACCCAGCAAAGATAATGCCCTCCCGGCACAGGGGGACCAGCGGGACAGGCAGCATCCACATCTGAGACGCTGACATTTCTGGTCTAATATGAACTCGGAAATATGTAGGTTTAATGCTTAAATCACACGTGTGTAGTCTTTAGTACATTTAGGGGTATATGGTATCAGGAAAAACAGAATGTCTAAGTCTACCCCATGTTTAAAGATGGGATTATAATTGAAAAATAAATGTAAAGTTGGGCCTTACCTGCCATACACAGATGGCCTTTCTTGCTTAGTGCGATTTCAAAGACCAAGGAAGGTCAGAGCTGGTTTTTCACTTTCAGATGTGGAAACTGAGGCCCAGAGCAGCTCAGTAAATGTTCTCACACATTCAATGAACTGACTCTTAGAACAAGTTATTCTAAATTTAGACATGAAATTCTACCAAGTGTTGTTTTTAATAAAAATCACACAGTAGCTTCTTTGTGCAGCTATAGCTAAAGTTCTTTATGATTACTACAAAAAACAATTTTCTGGAAAAAATCCATTACTATAACTTTGGTGATAAGAAATAATCTATTTTACTGAATTCACTGTTATAACAAATTGTGCTTTTCAGTTATTAATGCTCTCAATTTTAATCTTCTGTAGACATCATTATTCATTTCTTTAATGTGTGTGGTAACTTAAAAATAATCCTATCTGTGCAGGAGACAAAATAAATGCTTGCCCAAGGGTACTGCTAATTTACACAGAGTAGATTTTATTTGGTCAACATGTTTTTTACTTGGTTAGCTATGATTATCTAACGAGAAACCCCCTTAGCAAGACACATGAGATGCAAATGTTATTGTGATTAAAACAAAACAAAAAAAAGACCTTTCAAATGATTTCCTCCAATTGCATACAGGCGATCATTCATTACAGCCAGAGTGTGGATGGCGCGTTTCGTGTTCATGTCTTGTTTCCGAGCCCAGACGTCCATGACAGGGTCATAGCAGTATAGCCACGGGACATATTCCCCATTGTGCACGCCCCCTGTGAATTAAGCAGAGAGGTACGAGTCAAGAGAGTGCCTTGCAACTGAACTTGGAGCAGAAAGTGGAGGACTGACTTGCCCGAAATGTATATCTTCCCACTGTGCACTGCTCCGGCGTGAGCTGCCAGTGGCTGAGGCAGGCAGGACACGTAACGCCACTCGTTCGTCTCCAGGTTATAACACTCCACGCTGGACAGGTAGCCGGCTTCATTCCTCCCACCAATGACGTATAAATGTTTGTCCAGCCGACACGCGTAGAAACTGGCTCTTCTGCAACGGAAACAACCCGCTGTCAATCACAGAGGAGCTCAGTCGGCCAGAGGAAGGAGCTGCATCCGCATCAGGCAGCCCGCAGACCCTCGGAGGCCAGACAGACACCTGCCCTCCAAGCCGGAGGCCTCAGACTGTCATCCTCTGCGTTGCCCACTGTGGCCAATGTTCTTGACAGTGAAACAGTCAAGGAGAAATTCACTGGCACTCTGTTTCAGCTCCTTTTCTTGCTTTTCTATATGCTGTTCAAGTGCTCACTAACGTCTAGCATACTTGGTACCTTGTGAGGATATTGCAGTTCGGTAAGACAGAGTGAAAAATGAAGCAGATAATGTAACAATAATAAATTATCTTGACATTCACTTTTTTATGGTCCTTCAAGGGTCATTGTTCCCAATTTATAAGAGAACTACCTCATCAAAATTTTTCTTCAATTACCATTTCTTCTTTTTACCCCCCAGTACTACTGCAAATAGGAGAAACTTTTGTGAACTGAATGTCGTGTTGAAATTTTGCTCTTTTATGAACAATCACAGGAATTTTGTCTATGTAGCTCTTCATGTTGATTCTTATGAAGCTATAGGATATTTTTTAGTCTCTTTTCAAGAAAGGCTATTTTTAAAATTATCCCATTATGCCATCAAAGGCAAAAGACACAAGCTGGGCTGAAAGGATTGGAAGCAGGGCTGATTCTGAGGTAGACCATAATTGAGTGAGATATTCGGGACTTGAGTTAGAGTTTTAGGAAAAGACATGGAAAGGGGTAGCACAATAATATTTTACAGGAAGATGCAAGCCTTGGTAACAAGTAAGACAAGAGAGCTGAGGGAGACTAAATGTTTGAAGAGGACTCAAAAACTTGGAGTTAGGGTGAGTAGGTTGGAATCTTAAGCAGGTCCTTGAGCTCCTGCTTCATTTCCCTCATTGATGCTGCTGGATAACATACCTCATAAGAATGACATGTGGCCCAGGACCGAATAAGTATGATTGTTAAGTGCCAAGCCCCTCTGAGAATATAATTTATGTCTGATGAATTAATGGTCTTCATAAAAACTGACACCAAGACTCTTGGGCAATGGCAGTGGTGAGATCAGAGTCCAGGAGGTTTCAGCAGCAAGCCTGTATGGTCAGCAGATTCCCTAAGTTGTGTGTGCAAAGTGCCAAAAACTCTGGGATGCCATATGGCATCTGGATGCACAGTTTGGTCTCCAGCATCAGACTGCCGGGCTGTATGATTTACTGGCTGCGTGTCCTCTGACCTGTTACTTAGCCCCTGTCAGCCTCGGGTCGCTCCTCTGTAACCCGGGGGTGACAGCCTTCCTCACTGCAGTATCTGCAAATACAGACAGAAGGTGCTGTCATAGTGGCCAGCATTTCAGGTACTTAGGAACCACCAGTTAATATTACCTGGATAAAAAAGATTTCAAAAATCAGCCATCAAGATGTTTGCATATAAACATTTCCTAGTAATAGTTTAAATGATGGTTAATTCTTCAATGTTTGTTTAGGTGATTTATTACCATATGGGTATGATACGTGCAACAGATGGTGATGTGTTCAGCATTAATTTATTTTTTCCAGCTTCACCATGGTACACTTGACAAAATTATAATATATTTACAATTGTAATATAATTGTAACTTGTAAATGTAATATATTTTCAATGTGATTATTTGATATATGCATATATTGTGAAATGATTCCCACAATCAGGTTAGTTAACATATCCATCCCCTCACAAACTTACCTTTGTGAGTGAGAGAACACTTACAATCTGCTCTCTTAGCAAATTTCAAAATACACTCTAATATTATTAATTAAAATCACTGTGCTGTACATTAGATCCTCAGATCTTATTCATCTTATAACTGAAAGTTTGCAGCCTTTGACCAAACCTTCTCTCTTCCTCCTACCCTGAGATGCTGGCAACCACCCTTCTATTTTCTGTTTTTGGAAGTTCAACTTTATTTTTTAGATTCCACATGTAAGTGATACCAGGCAGCATGTCTTTCTCTGTCTGTTTTTTTCCCCTTAACATAATGACCTTCAATTTCCTCCACATTGTCACAAATGGCAGGACTTCCTTCTTTTTTATAGCTAAATAATATTCCGTTGTGCATACGTAATATATACCACATTTTTATCTACTCGTTTGTCAACAGATACTTCAGTTGTTTCTGGATTGTGGCTATTATGATTAATGTCACAAAGAATATGATTCTATATGCTCTGAAGTGGGGCTGCTGCTTCTTATGGTTCTGTTTCGGTTTTCTCTTTTTTTTATAGTTCTGGCATTGTTAGCATCATTGATAATTATTGATAATTTTAAAGTAATATTTTGGCTATGTTTGTTTTTTTCTATATTTTCTTGATGCTTTTGAAAGAAATATGTGCTGTGAAAAATTCAGAAGGATGATGAACAACAATGATGGAAAAAGTAGTTAGGAAAATAAAGAGCAGGTGAAACATTTCACACAGTAAAAGTTGTTACCTGGGACACATGTCTTCTGAGGGGTTCATGAACTGAAATTGTAATAAAATGTTGCATATCTAGGTTTTGCACATGTGCATTTTTTGAGAGGAGTATGTTTGTAGAAATCTTTTAATCAGATTATCAATGGACTCACTAACCTAAAAAATGTGGGATTTCCTGTTATAGAGTAAATACTTTTCTAAAAATAAAATTAGGTTAAAAATAGTTGCAAAGCTGGACCCCTGACTGCTTCCTTCTATTTCTCTAACCAGGTATCAATTGCTCTCTTGTTGAATATGGTAGGTCAAGTTTATTTTAATCGCGATTTCACCTTCTCAGCTAAAAGTGTATACACATGTCCACAAAAACCTGCACGAAAGTAGCCCAGGTGCCTCTGTGCACCATCGGCACATGGGTAAGACAGTGCCCTCTCTCCATATGGTTCCATGACAAGCCTGGGAGCCTGTGAAATAGTTAATTTACTGATTTCATTCATGGACCATCTTTAAATAATTTGGACTATGTGGGTTGTGAGGCCGTGAGTTTTCTGTGCACTATATACTGTCTAGAAGAGAAAATGCCCTTTAGTCCTGACAAGTATGAAAACTCTATTTAATTAAGTTCACAGAGTGGAGAATAAGAGAAGCACTTCCTCTGCTACTGTGGCTCTTTTCACCCAGGCTCAGTTTCAGTTTCCTCACTTTTCCTGACCTGGTTCCTTCTCTCCTCCCTGACACTAAGTGAGCCTGCTCTCTTTTTAGCTGAGGAGTGCTTAATCTGAGGCTTCACGTGTACTTCTAGCTTTATCCACACAGTGTCACTGTTAGGATCTAAATAGGAAAAAAACCCAGTAGGTTTCACTTTCCCACTGAAAGAGCATTTTTAGGTAGAAATTCCAAAGCGAAGAATCTGAGCCTCTGACTTCCTTGCATGTGCAAACTGAGGCTTCATGAAATGCACTGTGGAAACACCGGCTAGTTAATGATTTGCCAGCAACTGTACGTGTGCTCAGGCTAGTCTCCCGGGCATGCTCTCTGCCCCTTCTCCCCTCAGGAGCACACCTGATTTCTTTGTGTTTGGGAAAGTAAATTCAAGGTTATGGAAGACTTGTTAATGGGATTACACCGTTTGTATTTCAGATAGTTGTCTCCTTTCTCCAGAGCCCTGCTGTCCCAATGCCAGAGGCAATATCCAATATATTGACATAAATTTAAAACAGGCTACCAATAACCTCTACAAATATACTGTGAACCCTGTATAGTGTACAGGGTTTTACATGTTCTTTCTGATGTTCAGGGTAGCCAGTTTCTACCCTACAGTATGGTAATGAATTACCATAACCTTATCTAAAACTGCTAGAAACAATGTACTTAAATGTAGAAACATTTCGAAGCAGTTGTTTCTGGCTTTTCACTTCCTCTGTGAAACATGAGCTTTGTAGTCTCTGCTCTCCAAACTGCTTTTTCTTTTTCTCTTCTCCAGACTAGCTAGGGGGTCAGATCTCCATAAGAATAACACCTAAAATGTCTAAATGTCTAAAATGAAAAAATTTCAAGTCACCAAAGCATCCTATTGGTTGAGTTTTCATCTTTGCTCTTTTCTTCTTACTAAAGAATCAAATCCTAATTCTGGGGCCAGAACAACTCACCAGCATTACACTTATATTTATATTTTTGTCTTGCCGTTTCTGTCAGTAAATTCTCAGGGAGCAGGCAGCGGTGGAGTGAGCCTAGAGGCCATGTGTGTGTCGCCCCGTGGGCCTGTGAGGTAGTCCTGCCCTTCCAGCAGCTCCTTTGGAAGCTCTGATCAGGTGAGATATTCTGGGAGTCTGTTGGGCTGCTCCAAGGGTGCAGTGCCCCTGGGGTGGTTCTGCGTTGCTATAATTCTCAGTCCTTTGGGTAACTGCTCAGCACAGTAACTTCTTAGAAGTTTGGTAGCAGCTAATGCAAGGGGGTTTTTGGGGAAGCCTGGTGTGTTTGACTCATGATATATACAGGCAGGAGGAAGTCAGTGGGCTAAGTAGAACAGGACAAGTTGCCCCTGTAGAGGTTGGCCAAGCGGGACACTGGTGCTAGGCATTGTAGTCAGCCGGCCAAGCGGGACCCTGGTCAACAAGAAACCTCATTCTGAAGAATCGGTTCAGGAAGCCAGTAATCATGCTCGACCCTAGCCGTAAGCCCTGGCCAAACATGTGACCTTCCTTCTTCTATGCTTATAAACACCCCACTGCAGCCCTGGGGGCACCCTCCCTTGGAGCCCCTCTGATTAGCAGGAGCCCTTTTCTTTTCACTCCTCAGTAAAAGCTTTGCTGGTAGCTCCTTCCACTTGTCTGTTGGTGTCATTCTTTGTCGCCTCTGAGACATGATCTGGGAAAAACAGCAACTTAGCCAGTAACATATACAATGCAAAATTAACTCAATTAAATGTTTCGAGAAACTTCTTTTCTGAACTGAAGAGTGTCTCCTATGTTTTCGGGTTTTTTTCTTTCTTTGTTGAAGCACCAATTAAGCCCTGGTGGTAACTGATCCTACTTGCTTTTTCGATCGGAGGCTTGGCAATGACAGAAAAATTTCATTTTCAGTTATGGATTGCTGCCTGGGTCAACCCTCCCATCAGAGATACAGAGCCAGAAGATTGGGCGTTTGTGGGCTCTGCCTTGTCCCACTCAGCTCTGTAAGGAGCTCTTTATTTGGTCTGTCGAGTTGATTGTTCTAAATCTAAGAAAACCCTTCTTTTACTAGGGACCTGACATGATATACCATAATGACTCAGAAAGAAACGTTAAACAGTCCATCCTGTCAACGGTGGCTGCCGGACGCCGACAGACCATGGCAGGTCTTTTCATCAGGTCAATGAGCTGCTAAAAATCATCTAAGTAGGACCCTGCCATGATAGGTCCTAGTGCCTCAGAGGAAGTCATTACTGGATATCAAGTAAACAATACACATTTAAAAAAAATTACTAATTAGGTTTTGCAGTGATACTTCTCATCCTTAGGGGCCCTACAGCGAGATAATTGACCGCGACGTGAGCTATGCCTCCCACCCTGAAGGCGTGAAGGTTAATTATCATGGTGTGCAGTCCCAGCAAAGAGGCCGTGGTGATGAGATGCTGACATTTCAAATGCTACTGATATTTATTTTAAAAAAGTCTTCTGAGATAAAACTTCTCTGAACGGTTCTGATTAAAGGGTACAGTAATGCTGCCATGAAAACAGCAACCTGGAAACAACCCCAAAAAGAGAAGCCAGGTGCCCTGGAGGAGGAGCCAGGTGCTTTTGTGTGAATGTGCACACACAGACATGCCAAGGACCGAAACTGCTGTCTGGGTGTTAATTGACTTAGAGTGGTTTCTGCAGGTACCTTTGAACTGGACATTCTAAAAGTTCTGTGATCTTTACAACATACTGTGCCTTTTGCCACTTTTGGTGGATAGCTTTGAGTCTCCTGAGTTTTTTAATACATTTCTATGACTAGAAAGTTTAATACTGAGTTTCTTTGGAGCCCAGGTTCACATGGTCTTTTGCTGCAGGAATGCACCTTTTTGAGTGAATGGTATTATCTGAAACTTTCCTTTTAACTTTCAATTTATGCTGAAAGATCTAATTTGACTTCTGTGTGACTGAATTGAATGTTAAAAAATAAAAAAGAGATGTTAAGGGGAAGACTCATGAGGAAATAAAGAAAATTATTTAAATAATTTGGTGAGAAGAAGAAATAGGTTGCAGCTTATTGTTACTGTTACATTGGAGAACTTGTTCAACAGGATGTCAGGATATTATCTGGAATAAAACAGGCATTCAAAATTTAGCATGCGAACTTGCATATGCATATTAAGAAGTGGCCTGGTGCCTAAATAAGATCCAGGAGGGATAAAATACATATAAATATAATAAATAGCCATCTAGTTCATTGGCAGCGAGGAGACTTGGATGAGATAAACACCAAATACATTAAAAAACAGATGACACATTGCAAAACTTAAAAAAAACCAAAAAACTAACAAATGGCCTGTTCTTGAATGTATAATGGTAAAATATCTGAGGTGGCAAATACAAAGGATTTGAGTTAGTGATACCGGAACACTTAATATTGAGGTTTCTGCATCAAAATGTGTACCATTGTAAGAATGCTGTTTAATATTTCAATGATAGGATTTCAACATATCACTGGGAAGAGTGGAGTAGCCAGTGAGATTTTAGCTCTGTTTGCCAAAAAACCATGCAATCAAGTAAAGGAAGATGAGTCATACAATCTTGTTCTTCCTACAGTACAACCAATGGCTGATTTGATGATTTTTCTCCATTGCATTAACAAGTCAGTTAATCTAAATCAGCCAGGCCAAGTTTCCTCTTTTGCCTGATGTCTTTCATTGGCTCTGCTTAGCAAATATTATGGTAGGAAACCATTCAGGATCCATGCTTCCTGCAAGGCAGCCAGAGAGTTTTGGGCATGAGAAATAAACACTTACCTTTCTTGCATTGGTGGGAGCTGTATCCAACTATTAAATCGGGGATCGTATCGGCTAACAAAATTTGTACTGTGCTTTCCTGTAAAAATATATTTGAGACACTTAAAACTTAGATTCCTTTGTGGTTTTGCATACTTAACAATATTTTACAAGCTGTCTCTTCTCAGGTTTAACAAACAGATGAGTTAAGTAGAGGGACTATCTGCACAGTGTGAGAAGCAACAGGTCAGGAGGAAAATAAATACGCTGCCTTGAATGTTTTTCCTGTTTTCTTCTCTCACTCTCCACCTTTCTTTCTCTTTTTCAGAAGGAGTTGAAATAAAAATAAATCAACCATAACAGTAAAAGCAAGTATGCTTAGCAAACCAGTTTTATCATGACATCAGGGTAAAAATGCCTGGGATTTGGTGTTTTTATGTTTTAAAAACATGACGTTACTGTCTACAATCAGTTGCAGAGACTGCCCTGCAGGGTGCTGCTGAGAAGCGCCTCTTTAATTGAGCCAGCAAGTCCCAGTGGCAGATAGAGTGGCTTTCTCCCCGAGGAAACAGTAGAGATCACCAATAAAGGGTTTACCTTTGGAATCGGTTTTAGTCTCTGCAGGCTGTGTGGATTATGTGTGTTTGGGGGCAGGTGCACGTGCTGAAGTGAGAAACAAGTCCTCGGACCTGGCTACCAGCTTATCCCCTCTGTTGAGCTTAAGAAGCACAGTAATGCCTACTAAAATGAATCTTATTTTAATTGAGATGGACACCAAAGAAGAAATAGGAGCGAAGAGTGTATTCCATTTTCTGTGTGGCGCCTGAGATGATGATCACCTACAGCACCTGAGGCCTTAACTCCAAACGTCGGTTTTTGTTCATATATGTGTGTCTAAACACTGAAATACGTGGACCAGACATCACTGCAGGAGTGAGCAGACAGGAGTGTGTGTGCGGATGCCTGTCATGCAGGCATCCACACACACAATAATTAATTGCACAAATATACAGAGCACCTACTACATCTCTTACGTGTTCTAGGTTCTGGGACTATATTGGTAAACAAGGAAAGCAAAGTCCCTGTTCTTGTAAATGAATGACAAATATATAATATTTTTCAAGTAGAGATGAATGCTATAAAGAAAACCAAAGCAAGGCTTGATAGAGCGGAAGCTGGGTTAAGTAGGACTGTCTCCTGTTCACAGATGTCTTCTTCAAGCTGTGCAAATATCTGCAGAGTGAGCTTACCACACAGATGGCCAGGTGAGTGTGACATTGCTGGGCTGGCCATGAGTTCAAGAGACCTAGGGTGATTTGGGCAGGCGTGTAGCAGACCCAGAGCACAGTGTGCCCTGGTACTGGTGCAGGATTGTGCCCTTGGTTAAGGACAATAGGAAGCCACTGGAAAATTTTGAACAAATGAGGAACATAGCCTAACTCATCTCTTACAAGGATCGCTCTGGCTGCTGTGTGAATAGACTACAGGGGGGCCACTCGAAGCAGGGAAGCTGTCTGAAGGCATCGCAGTTGTCGGGCAGGAGCCAATGGTGGCTTGAATGAGGGTGGAGGCTTTGACACATGGTCAAGTTTGGGGTTTACCATGTGGGCAGAGCAAAGAAGATTTTTTGGTAGACTGAGTATGGGTATCATATAAAAAGGGGGAGGTCAGGAGGGCTGCCAGGCTTTTGGCCTGAACAACTGGATGGAAGTTCATGAAATGTGCTGAGGTGAGAGGACTTTGGGGGTCAGGGAGAGAAGACCCGAATCCTTTCGGACCCAGCCCTGAGAGGCCATAGGGTCTGACCCCGGAAGCATCGGTAGACCACTGGCTGGATGAGGCAGCAGGTGGGACTCTAGAGCCTTAGTCCAGAGATTATTTAGAATTGTATACCAGGATCAAGGCTTCCAGGGAGAGGGTAGAGAGATGGATGAGGAGTGGTCCTGGGAATCAGCGCCTGGGTAAAAGAAGAGAAAGCAGCCAGGGGAAGGTGCCGTCCGAGGCAGGGGGGTCCGGGTATCTCTGAAGCTGTGTGCAACAGCATCCCGAGAAGCCAAGTGAGCTGAGAGCGGGCACCGGATCTGGCAGCATGGAGGCAGGTGGCAGCCTTGACAAGTGCTGCATGGAAGACAATGGGGGGACAGCCTGAGGGGGCTCCTGAGAGAGAAGGTGTGAGAAGCAGAGGTAGGAGGGTCCAGGCCACACTCCTCAGGCTCCTGCATGAAGAGAAAATCGTAGTGGAGGACATAGCGCTAAGAGAAGGTTTCACTTGGTAGTCTGGTGCTGTTTCTAAGTTCATAAATATGAGGATGTCCTTGAGCAAGTAATAGGGAATGAGGAACAGGCCTTGAACTGGAGCAGAGACAAAGGGCCTGGCAGCAGCGGAGGCCTGTGAATGGCCTTGGTAGTGAAAGATGCAGGCCCATCTTCTGATCGCTTCTGTTCTCACTGAGCTAAGAAGCAAGGCCGTCAGCTGAGGTGGGAGGGAGGTTTGGGAGGAGGAGGCAGAAAGCAGGAAGCAGCTCCCTGGGAGGTGGGAGAGAGCACTGGCCAGGGACGCCCCGTGGTGCTGCCTGGTGCCAGCATGGTCCATAGAAGCCAGTGTGGCTGCGTGGTTTCCTAGGCCCACATTTAGGTGCTCAGGGGCAGGGGGAGGTGGAAGACAGCTGGGTCTAGCCAGGGCTTTACCAGGCAAGCATAATGGAGGGAGAGATGGACGAAGGACTGCGGGCATAAACGGTGACGTGGTTTTAGGGGTGGGCAATAGCACATGAACCCAGTAAGGACAGAGGTGAGGACGCAAGGGATGACAGCCAGCAGAGAAGCAGCAGGACAGACGGAAGGTGGGAGGCTTCCCAGTGGAGAAGTGCACAGGCGGCAGCAGGTTTTTATAGAATTTGCTATGGTTTCCCTGCAGAAAAAAAATCATTCTTAAGGATGTCCGGAAAGCGGTGGGGGTCAGGGAGTGCGGGAGGCCATGAGGGGCCAGCGGAGAAGCTGCCCGCCTGTGGGGCTGGAGGGGAGCAGGGACCCGGTCCCCGTTAGGGAGGTGGTGGAGGGGCTGCCGGGCACAGAGGACGGCGAGGCTCTGACGAGAAAAGAACTTTAAGGGGCCATTCACATTTTTAGGGATTTTGTTGATGTGAGATCATGAGTTCCAAGCATCAGCGCGGGAGGGTTTGGATGGCCTGGTTGGGGGGTAAATTAAGTGTTATTTGGGGATGTAAAGAAGGAGGTAAGAGTGAGGAGTGAGGAAGGCCCAGACGCCTTGGGCTCCACCAAGGGAGGCTGCACCTCCAGGAAGAATTACGTCTAGAGTTCGTTCATAAGGGAGTTTTTATAGAATTTGCTATGGTTTCCCTGCAGAAAAAAAAATCATTCTTAATAGTCAGGTTCCAAGGTTAATCCCCAATGTGTCTGAAGATTAATGCTGTTAATAGGAACACAAAACATACCCACATGTTTGAGAATGCTTCTCTGTGGAGTTTGGTTTGGCATTTGCAACTGGAAGAAAACATGGGCCTCCTTTCAGCGATGGGAGTGCCTGCGTGCGCTGAGCAGGTACGGGCTGCTCCCAGAGAGGAGCTGGGCAGGGACTCCTGGCATGCTACGGGCATGAGATGAAGGGAGAACTTCCTCAGGTCGGGCCAGTGGCGGGAAGGGGAGGCAGGACCAAGGACTGGCGAGACAGAGAGAAAGCAGGCCTCTGGAGCCTGAGGGGATAATGGACCTCAGGAGGAATGAGGTGAGGTAAAATGGGATATTCCTCCCTTCCCTGCGGCCTCTGGTACGACCCTGCGAGCAGCCAGAGACTGGTGGCCCCAAGCAATGGGGTTTGGATTTCTTTTCAATCTTTTAGTTTCTTCTCCTCTTTTCCATCTTTTTCCTGTCTTTCTCCACTTCTCTTTTTTTGGTTATGCCTTGTCACCAGACACCACTTTTGACTATCACTTGGGTGAAAGGTAAAAGACATCAGGGCTGGCAATTTTCAGCCGGTGGCCGAGGAAAAGAGAAGGAAAACACCTGAAGGCAGTTTCTGTGGGAGTTGGTCATCAGTAAGTGACAAATGTGAATGGGCTCTTCGTAAGCTGGGCCCTGGCAGAATATGATAATGCGTTCCTATCACTAATGACATGAAGGGAGTTAATAGGAGTTAATATCTATGGCTGAATAGAGTATGTATCCTGCTTATATTTCTAGTAACTAATATGTTTCATGATTTCAAATTTGGGTCTTATAATCAAAGCCAATAGATAAATAAAATTATATTTTTGCATTTTATGAGCACATACGTGTGTCTCATGAGCATATATTGAAATTTGTGATTTTGTATTTCATTCAAGGACACGCATTGCAGGCACCATTTTTATAAGAATTAAAGTTTAACTTAATATTTCAGCTTAGGAACTGACATAGGCATAACATTTGAGCTCATGGGTTTAAGATTTCTCTTCCCTCCAAACAATGAAATTAGAGAACTTTATATACAGTTGACCCTTGAACAACATGGGTTTAAGATGCATGGGTTCATATATATGCAATATAAATAAATATTTTGGAAGATAGCATAAATAAATATATCAGACAAATTTTTGGTGATGGATGATTTGAAAAAACATTTTTGTTTCTCTAGCTTTCCTTATCATAAGAATGAACTGTACGTACTGTACGTATATAATACATACATCATGCAAAATATGTGTTAGTCAGTAAGGGTTCTTGTCGACAGGAGGCTGTTAGTAGCTACATGCCTGGGGAGTCAGAATTCATACATGGATTTTCAGCTGTGCCTCTGACTCCCATCTTATTCAAGGGTCCACACACCATCACAGGGCTGCTATTCTTTGCAAGTTTTGGCAGTGACTGCTTACTTGCTGCTATTTGCACAAAGTATTATGAAAATCTCATATTTTTGAGATGATTGAGTCCCTTCATAGTTTTCTAAATGGAGAATGATGGAGGGCCACTTTCCACTGCCATACCATACTGATGTAATTTCCCCAGATCAAAGGCAAGACCACGATTGTTGTTTGGGGTCTGACCAAAGGCACATGTTCATGTGACAGGGGCTGGGATACGGTGCTGAAGACTATGGTCAGG